CGTATATACGTTACTAAATATATCTCCCACTAGTTGACAAAAAAGAAGAAGAAATTTCCTCTTGATCAAAACCATGAAAAACCTTATAATGGTATCGATCATGGCCCTAGTGCTCTTTTCTTGGTCTGGATACGTACGTGCCGACACTCTTGTCGTGGCCAAACCAGATGCGGACACGTGGTAATGTTCCAGTCTTTGTCGCATGCCACATAATTCCTAAGGCTGGCAAAATCCGTACCTTTGGGTCAAGTGTTGTTGATAGAGATCCCAGTCAGAGATAATGCAACTAATTAATGCGGCGGGATTTAGGACTTGCGTAGGAACGTTTTACAACATATCAAATTCTGAACCCTATGAGAGGCCGTACGTTTTGTACAATTCATACGAAACTTCTAACGACTCTAAAAATATGTTTTTTTTCCTTGTGTTTTACCGTTGGAATGATGGCAAGAAAGATTGGGACAAAATTCGTCCGATCACTTGGCTTTGAGTTATGTAATACATTATCATTATTCTAAATTATTGTGTTCAATTCAAATGTTATCATTGTATTACATTTCGATACTCTTGGAAATGATATCAATCAATATATACTCTTGGAAAGATGCCCTACTGTTCGAGCAATCGCTGCAGATCCAATGAGAATGAGTAAGTATAAGAAAGAAGAATACGTGATAACAATTACATTGAAAACATAGTATGACAAGTGGTGAAAACTCAAGAATCATGGCAATGAAACCTTTATACCAACACTCTCCCCAAGGTGCATTGATATCGAATTCATCTGCGCCTTATTTTCATATAGCCCGTTCACTGTTCTTCTCGAACCCACAATTTCTTTAGCAAGTGCCTGGAACACCGCAGAAAGAAATCAGAGACGCATTTGAAATATCCAAAGATTCCAATTTTTGACAACCAACTATCACATAAACTGAAATTCAAGGCTTTTCGAAAACTGTTATAAACCCGATAACAAGAATTCTAAAGCAGTCTTAAAGCTATAGAGTGATCTTTCACTAACACCGCAGAAAGAAATGAGAGACACGTTGAGACGAGCCAAAGATTCCGAACAAAAAAAAATCTAGCTTTTGACAACCAATTATCACATTTTTCTGAATCCAAGCATAGAGGAGGTTTAGTTTTCAGAACAAAAGGGTAAGACTTTTTCCAGAATTGTTATAAAACCCAATAACAAGAACTCCAACATCAAATTCGATTGAGAAATTTAAGCAATTCTTAAAGCTAAAGCTAAAGAGTGATTCTACCTTAGCTGAAACCATATCATTCCTCTTTGCCGCTTCTTTAATAGCTTTCTGTACGTTTCTCTCTTCTTTCTGTATATCTG